TTTACAGTGTGGTCCCAGCATGCTGGCCTAGCACGAGGGTCCGGGCTGAGGAACTCTGGGAAGGCTCAGTCTGCAGACAAAGGGCCCTCCAAGCCTGCCCCCCCGAGTCTCCCCCCGACCCCGGGCTGCCGGGTCACCTGCGAGTCTGGGAATGTGGCTGACGTCGCAGAGGCAGCTGGGATACCGCAGCTCGCGGACAACGGCACAGGCCTGACATCTTAATGCCGGTCAAGGCTGCTCTGCCTCTCTCCTGTCCACCCCCGTTAGCAGCCAGCCGCGCATTAATAACAGGAGCCGTGAGAACCCGGCGCGGACAATGGAGACCTCAACATCTGCTCAGCAAGCCTCACAATAGATCTCCAAGCAGCCTAACCCTTCTCCCTCTGCCTTTCCCTCCTCTTCCTCACTTTATCTCAGAACACCAGTGTGCCACTTAGTCCAGATGAAGAAACCCTGAAGCACTGGGAAAGCAGGGCAGCTTAAGAAGTATTTATTGCACCTAATAAGTTAGCGGGTGTTTTTCTTAAAGAACCTTTGTTCTCCTCTTGAGTGCAGTGCCTTCTGGGGGAATTCTTCAGAGATGTCATGGGACTGTGAAATTGCATCTGCAATGAGCAAACACAGCTGATGTCTGCTTTGGTCCTGGTTTGTTATCCGAATAGTTCTCCCTTTCAGCTTCAATTCCGAGTAACAGGGTTGGGACACACAGTCATGCTCATTTCCTGTAAACCAGAATCATAATGCTGCCAAAGCCTTCAAGGCATTGAAGTAGGTAACCTAATGAATCTGTTTAGAAAAAAACAGTGACAGGGCAGCTTGTGCCAGACTTCCACAACTCTGTGTACAAAGGTGCCTCCTGTTCTTAGTTTTTAAATGCACTTCCAAGGCGTTTTGACCCATGTCCTCTGGAAACTTTGGGTTATTGACTGCATTTAAAATCTTACTTGCACAAAGGTTGTGGAACAAGCCAATAACCTAGCTTCTTTAAATAGTTCCTCTTGGACAGCATGTCCTGTCCAAACTACGATTTGGACAGGAGCCACTTTTTTACACAAAGGGTGGTGGGAGTGTGGAACAAGCTACCCAGCCATGTTTCTGATACCCTCAATAAACAGCTGGAAGAAATATCTGATCAAGTAACTACTAACTTCCAAAAGGACTAGGTAGGTCTCCTCTCATGTAATCTCTTGAGTTCTCTTTAATTAATTGCTCAACTATTTTGTGATAACTGGAGGTGGATATCAGGTCATATTTGATAATGAGAAGATTATATTATATTAAGACATTTAAAATAATTCTTCACATAGGAATGTGGGCCTACAGAAAACTAAAATTGTACCCTTCTTTTATCCGTTTTTGTTCCAAATCATTCTCTCTGCTTTTGTAATGATGCTAGAAAGCTGTGTGACAAACTACAGCTGCCAACAGGACTCTGCAGTAACAGGAAAGGAATGTCTCCATTATCCAGATCTAAGCAACAGCTGTCTTGAAATACCAGCTCTTAACTCCAAAAGCACCCACATCTTTACAGGCACACTTGGGGTCTCCCTGCCCCAAAACTTCAGGATGACACCATCGCAGCCTCAACACTGGAGAAAAGACTAGGTCAAAGTGACATTCCATCAGCAGCAGCTCAGGCTCTCTAGGGAAAAGGCCAGTTTAACTACTTCAGAACAGCTCCCAATAACATTTTATAGTGCAGCAATGCCCTGCCGAACTGTGACCTCAGTCCCAAAGCACTTGAAACCAATCCGGGAGTTACCAGATGTCGGAACTCAAGCAGAGCCATGAGAACATAAAAGCCCCAGCAAGATTTCAAACAAGAGGAGATCATTTGACCCATTTTGTTTTACTTGACTGAATGTTTGTAATCTATGGATCCCAATGTGTATGAATAAGAGATTCCACTTAACCTTACACACAGAGGCTCTGAACAACTGACAATAGATAGCGTTGCTTGGCAACAGCCCCGGGGCATGTCCAGGACAAGCCCAGGGGCATATCAAGTGCCTACTGCCTACAGTCCACCTCGCAGCCTGGACACCTGGGCCCCGAGTCACCACCTGCGCTGGTCACCCCAACAGTCTAAAGACAAGCGCAGATTAGGGGAATATTACAATTTCATGTGCATGGGGGTCACGTCGGTCAGTTTTGGAAAACTCATTGAGAGCACGGAGGTCTGGCAAACCCATCGCGCAAGACGATCGCTTCCGCGTCTGGCTCGTCTCTAGCTCCCTAATTAGTTTTCCAGATGTCGAAAAGGACAGTCCGACAGGCGCACGACACGTCAAGAGACAGACAGGACCTACCCAGACCGCACTACAGGGAGATTAATGGAACTCGGTATAAGGACAGAGGGAAAATATCAGTCAGACGTCAACACGTACAATATGTATTTGCACAGATTTGCAATCGCGGAGACGCGAATGGAGCGTACAGGGCGCTCATCAGACACAAAAGGCAGAAATGGACTCGGAAACCGACAGGGAGTTTCGTATACAGGGTATTGACTAAGATATTCGTGCCGAAAGAGAGAACAGCGGTCTGATATCCAGACAGGTGCCCAGACACCCGCGACAGAACGATGCGACCCGGTACGGGTTTTGTGTTTTAATAAAACACCCTCTCTCTCTGGAAAACATGTCCTTACCCGTGTCCTGGCGGAACTGGTGCATGGAGTGCAGGTCGATGATGTACGGGGAGAGCTTGGTGTCCACCTGGCCCAGCACCACGCTGCCGCCCCGCGGGTTGGCGCGGATCACCGCCTCGATGTGGTGCGACACGGCCGGGCTGTAAGGCCGCCACCGCCCGTGCTCGTTCAGCCATTCCCAGACCACCACCGCCGAGGCGAGCAGCATCGCTCCGGTCGGGAGAGGCGTCTCTGTAGCCTGACGGGCTGGCTGGGACAGGAGAGGGGCAGCGCCAGACACCGCGGAGGAGGAGGAGGTGAGGTGGGGGGGAGTTGGCGTTTGGGTCTGGCCCGAGTCTGCGTCTGAATATACAGCCCGCGGAGCCCGATCCGATCCCAGAAAACCCCCAGATGTTTCAATAAATCATCGTCGCCGCTCAAGTCCGCAGAGCGACGCGGCTGCGTCTCTACGCGCAAGAAGGGCAGTGGAGAGGCTGCCCGCTTTAAAGATCCTGCAGGTGAAGACGCCGAGAATAAAACAGCAAGCCTGTAATAAAAACAGGTGTCCGTGTGTGTCCGGACGCGCTAAGGCTCTGTTTCATTGGTCCCCGCTGTTGTTACGACCGGGCCCACCAGTACCGTTCTTGGTGGCAGTAAGCAGGGATACTGGGGTCCATCGGCTCGAGGCTCGGTTATTGGGGAGACCTGGGCCCCGCTGCAAGCACGGTGTCCATTTCAGGCAGGGTTCGCGGTGCACGAAGGAGAGACGCGGTGACACATCCACGCTCCTGCCTGACTCACCGGGGAACCGGTTCGGCTGGCAGCGCGGCGCCTGGGGAGGTGGGTTCCCAGCTCCGACCCGGCGCTCCGCGGCTCGGTTCCGGTTTGCGAAAGCAGCTCACTCACGTCCAGCGGCGACCGACCCCTCACGCTTCTGCCCCGGGCTGGGGTACTCCTCCTCCGGCAGGCGCACTCCTTAGACCCCCTCTTTCGGGGACACGGAGTCGCGCACGAGACGGGCTCGCGGTGGTGCGCCTGTCACGTGACGGGGCGCCCGCTGCTACGATTGACTGGAGACGAGAGACACAAACTCGGGGAGGCCGGGCTCGGCTAGGGACATGTGCGAGCCTACCCCCACCGCAATACCGGGTATACTTCCTCACCCGCTCCGTGCGTCAACCGTGAGAGAATTTCTCCACTATTTCGGTTTTCCTTCGGCTAAACATGCAACAGTTTGTAGCTCCGAGTCCCAGGGCGACGGTCCGTGCATCAGTGGGTTCAGTGTACAATCCGCCCAGGAGAAAAAAAAACACGCTCCGTTTTTTTTTTTGGTAGCAGCTGGAGCCGAAGAGCCCGGGTTTCCACGCACCCGGAGAGCACCCAATGCGTCCCACAGCAAGGGCGACTGTCGAGTCCGGAATCACAAGCTAGCAGTGTCGTGATAGGAACTTACTGGTGTGGGCTTCTCAGTCCAGAATTTCCACGCGTGGCTTCACAAATCATCCGAGGGCAAAGAGACGGGAGCAAAGCAAAGCCCCGTGATCATGATTCAACCATCACGAATGCGGCAGGCCATTTCTTCCACGTTTCTGCGCTATTTGCTCCAAATCTCGGTGCCCATTGCTGAGAGCTTCAGTGTTTGTGTAAGACCGAGCGGCTCTGCGTCCGGGTACTCGCCACGCCCCCACGTAGTTCCCCAGGGCAGCCAATCGCGTCTCGGAGACGCCACGCCCGTCTGCCCTCCCCCTTCCCGCAGGCTCGTAACGCCCCGCCCATCTCGCCCTGCTGAGGCTACGCGAAGGTACTGTGTTACTGAGCAGCGCAGTTACATTTTAGCTCTATAGCAGGTCATATCATTGGGGGAATCACAATGACCCAAGATCAGAAAGGCTCCAAACAAGACTACTAGACTTTTGGGTTTGGACTGTCGGACGTGACGTGAAAGCTGGAGATGACAATATTCCGGTTGGCTCTTCCCGAGTCTATACATATATTTAAAATTAGATGTTATATTCCTTCTGGCCACAACCCAAGATCTCGTACTCATTCTATATAAAATATACATAGTCTATATTTATAGTCTTGGATCTTATTTGTGTCAGCTGTCGATTCAGTTTAAGTTGTGTGGTTTTAATAAAGAGTAAATTTTGTGCTGTCATTTTTATTCGACTAAGAGAATGATAACGATGAACACAGTTCTTGAGAATTAATTTAAAAATCATGGCTAATTGTGTCATAAGTGCATTTGAGTGAAAAAAAAAAAAAGCTAATGGAGATGCCGGGGATTGAACCCGGGGCCTCATACATGCGAAGCATGCGCTCTACCACTGAGCTACATCCCCTATACGGTACGCGGATACCGCAGAAGTCTTTACAACAATTCCCGCCGCCGAAGCGGTTCAGCAGATTTGCATTATTTATGTGGTGCTTCCCCCTTGTGGCAGGTTGAGGAATTCAACTTCAGAGACTACGAGGTGAAAGCTATACTGGATGAACGAGACTCCACTAATCTGTATCCAACATTTTGAAACCGTAAATAAATGGTGTATAAAACGTCCCGTTCGTGCTGTTATATACGTGTCATAAATTAAACTATGAGATATTTCCTCGTGACTGTACACTGGGAGTGGGGATGCTACTCGAGCTATTATGAAGTCGGAAATTCGCAAACTAAACCACTATTCCAACCTCCTTCCGTCCGACGGAGTTCATAATTAAGGACAGGACCTCACAGGCCCTCTTTCCATTTTCAAGAAACAATGTGAGCAGGACTCTGGTGAAACTTAAATTAAAATCATTGCTTCTAAGAATCTTTCTAAAGAGCTCTTATAGTTTATCAGTAAGTGTTGTACAGACACACGTGGGAACTGACCAGGGGCCGCTAGTTAAGAAAATGAGAACCCAAGTCAGTGAGAACACAAGAGAGGGGAGGCCAGTCTCTGTTTTATTATTCTGATCTAAGGGACCTCACCCAGACGTTTCTTGAAAGAAACAGCGAGCTGCATAAATCCTTGATATCAACAAAGACGCTGACTACTGCCATAATACCAAAAGCATGAAGAGTATTTTCTTATATATGTTTTTTTTTCTAAATGAAAACAAAATTTAAAAAGCGGTCGGCTTTTATCAAGCCGGTAAACTGTAGTTTTATAACGCGGCGGTAGCCGGTGGCTCTGTAACCCCGTAATTCCTGTTAAAGAACGACAGTAACACACGTTTACAGATGTAACTGGAAACACAGAGAGAACTTTATTTACAGGGTCAGAGACAGTGATATACTATATTGAGTCAATTTCTATTTCTTTTCGGTCTGGAGCACACACCACTAAAAACCAAGGGTGTAGTTTCGAAAGAATATCAATTTAGCACTCAATTTTACAATGAAAAAACAAACAACGTAAACTTACACAATTGCACTAATGTGTTTAAACATGAAATACCCCTTTGCTGGTGTGAAAATACATACAGTAGCAGAAAAATAATTTCTCATATATAAACCTGAAACCCTTTGAACTCACAAATGCTTATGTGCGTCATTAAAACACATTGTATGAGTTGAAGAAGTTCAAGTAGGTATCTGCGTCAGCATGTGTAGGGTTATTCCACACTGAGAGGAAAAGAAATGAAACAACATTTTGGCTGTGGAGCCTTCTTCAGTTGTGAGGGAGATGGTGTATCATGAAAGTTTGGTCTACATCTGACTGTAGCAGCAAGGCATATTATAAGTGTAAAGTGTTGTTAAAAATTCGAATTAACTTTTTGATGTCTTGACAGATCAGCTTGGGCCTCTGTGGTAAGTGAGGGATGCAGCTGAAACAATATAGATATGCAAAGACTCCTGTTGTATCCAAAATTGGACATAGGAAATGCAATTCAATGACAAAGAAGGCAGGTGAATGGATTAGAATGCACAGGCTGTACAGATGTAGTCACTCAGAATGCTTAAGGTGGGATGCAAGAGTTTAGATGATTTTCCATTGCAACAATCACGACAACAAAATGTAGTCAAAACGAGCACCTCAAAACGTTTCCAAATAACCATAAATGATTGTTTAAGAAGTCAATGCAGAAGTTCAGGAAGAAAGTGTAATACCCTACCTGAACCACTTAAAAACATACAATTATATTCATGAGTGGATAATATTAATGATGTTCAGAAACTTTTTTATTTTCATCTACCAAAATTTCCCTCTAGTTCCATTATTTCATATTAATATTCCATATTGGGTCAGCATGTGTAGGTTTATTCCAAAATACTCCCAGAAGTAGGAGGACAGATGAAACGAAGCTTAAGTTTTCACTCACATCTAACGCACCACCAGTGCCACATATCGATCTTCTTTGTCCAGAGTACCGTTGCGCACTGAAGTCCCCTTGAGGTGGTAACCAGTTTTTCTGAGCAATCTGAGTGGCTGCATTAGGAAATTGTTCTATATTTTGGCCACATGCTGCTTGCACGACCTTCACATCCATCCCCTCCTTGACATTTTTATAGCAGGGTGATGAGACTTGTCCAGTTCTGGGGCATGATGGGACTGGTCATGCCATCTCCTCTTTATCTTTAGATCCAGGCGTGAGGCAGACAGGAAGACAGGCAGCTTGTCACAGTGTTCCCAGCGGGGCAGCGAGGAGAGAACTTGCTACGTGCTCTGTTGTAGCCCAGATAGCTGACACATGTCACTGAAAGCTTGACGTTGTCCTCACTTCTTTTCTGTAATACTCACTTTGGTATTTAATCAAGACCTTGACAATGTTCTTGGCATTATAATACAGTATCTGTTTTTGAATTGCCTGTCCTGGCCATACGTTACCCTTTGTGAAGCCATAAGTGAGAGCTGTACAGTTCTGATCAGTTCACTTATGTCCTGGTGTTAATCTGAAATCAATTAATTGTCCTTTCTCTCTTTGTGATTTAGTCACAGCTTCTGTGAACAAATAAGCTTGAAATCT